ACTATACACAATATAATATATTTTAGTCATAGGCTAAACCAAACTTTTTTTCCAGGTTGTACTGAACACCTATGAGTTTCAGTCAGTGTATTTGATGATTATTCTTTAAAAAAAATAATTATAAAGTGCACATTAAGTGTTCTCTGTCTAGATATGTTCATGTGTTCACGTCTTCGTAGTGGCTGAGACAGCTTTAAAAACCACGAGCGTCATGCGTACTTGAGTGTGTACTAGATCTACTAACTAGACGAAACGGCGCTGCTCATTCATACAGAGACGCGCTGAATATAGAAGGGTTGCACACCAGTCTTTTTGCGTTGTATATTCACAGACACGCACATCGCGATTTGATTTAGGCTACTGCACAGCTATATTTTGCTTTATTCATCCATCTATCTTTTTAAATCGCACATTTTACGTGTCATCTGTTTTGTAACGCAAAAAGACGCATGTGTGCGTCTTTTTGACAGACCGGGATTCCCTCAGCATGACAGAAATAATATGGCCTTAAGTTATAAAAGTTATGAATAACCTTTATCTTCACGGAGGGATGGTGTTCCTGAATATGGGAGAACATGTTCGACGTGTTTACTCCTTTTGCAGCCACTCTTCGTCCACATATCTTGCAAACTGGATATCCATCTTCAAGGACAACACCACGATCGTTTTTTCGGATATAAGTTACAAAATATTCCCATACTGCAGATTTTATTTATTTTTTCGGCGGGAGATAGAGATTCGCAGCCTCTGTCGCGGACATTTTCAGCGCTGTACGGATATGGAGTAAGCAGTCAAACTGAAAGAAGTTGCATGCGGCAGTGCAGGTGAATTCTTTTTTTTTTTTTTTACCGCGGATAAGCAAATGTGCACGATATGATAATCATACATGTCAATATCGCGATAAACCGCCATACCGGTATACCGTTACAACCCTAGTACCAATAATAATAATAATAAAGCATTAAATCAGAATATTAGAATGATTTCTAAAAGGTCATGTCATGTGACACTGAAGACTGAAGTAATGACTTTTTTTCATATATTATATTCTACAATAAAGTTGCAGAAAACAATTATATTAAAATTTAATATCATTTTATTTCACAATTGTACTGTTTGTACTTTATTTTTATTAAATAAACTCAGCCTAGAGAGCAAAAGAGACTTATCTTCATTTAAAAAAGGTTATTATATCTCAATTATTGCAAATTTCTGTCTTTCAACGTATTACTTTTTTTTCCCTGCTGGTTGTTCAATAATAGCAGTTGTTTTGTGTGTTCTTTCTCTTTTGCAGTTGCAGTAGTAAATGAATATGCCATGAAAGGCCTGGACAAGGTAGAAGAAAACCTTCCAATTTTACAACAACCAGCAGACCAGGTAAAGCCTAGACTGACTTATTTGAATCACTCCATGAATCATTGTAAATATGTCCATTGATATTATAGATCTGAATGTACTGACACTGTGAGAACTGAACTGAGCTGGACGAAGACATCTTTTATTTTTATTTTGCAGTACTGCTTTATAGAAATGAACAAATTTAATAATTGGTGATCTTTACAATGGATATGACTCAACACTGAGCTGAACAACAGCTGGAATACATATTTTTTTCCTGTTTATCACTGTAAAGCTGCTTTGAAATAATCTGTAGTGTATAAAGCGGTATATAAATAAAGGTGACTTGACTTGCAGCTGGTCTCCAACACAGTGGGCATGATGTACCAGTCAGTAACAGGAGCAAAGGATGCTGTGGTGGGGGCTGTGTTGGGAGGTGTGGAAAAGACACGTATGGCTGTGGCCGGAGGGATAAACACTGTCATGGGGAGCCGTGTGGGCCAGATGGTCAGTAATGGTGTGGATAAGGCCCTTACTCACTCTGAAGACTGGGTGGATCAGAACCTTCCACTTAGTGAAAAGGAGCTTGGTAAGTGGAGTTGCACTTCAGACCAAGCAATTTAATTATTTTTAAGAAATTACTTGACAAAAAAATTATACAAGTTAAAGGTAACATCAGCTAAAGTAGTCTAAAAATGTTCTCTTCTCAGTTAGCCTCTTGTTTGGATATACATTATCACAATAAAAGGGCAAATAGCACATTCTTGGAGGACATACTTTTTGTTTCAGTTCTGGCAAGAGCTAATGAGCAACAGGGAATGCAGCTATATGAAAACATTTCACTTTCAAGACGTAATATTACATTATTACCTAGAAATTCAAGTTTTTACAATAACATTTTTTTGTATGATTTTCTTTATGTATTTGAATATTTACTATGATATATACAGTATATACTGTTTAAAAGTCAATAATCAAAAAGAGTTAAAAAAAAGTAAAAACAAATAAAAAAAAATTTCAGCAAGCATGCATTAAATTGATAAAAATGTTAAATAAAAATGTAATTCAAAAATTTAATTAAAAAAATTGTTTTTGTTTCAATGATTTGAAGGATGTTGTGACACTGAAGACTGGCTGCTGAAAATTCACCTTTGTCATCACATCAATAAATGACATAAAAAAGAAATACATTACATTTAAATACATTAAAATCGAATTTGGTCAATACATACTTCACAGCATTACTCTTTTTTGCCCTGTGTTTGATCAAATTAATGCAGCCTTGGTGAGCCTATGAGCCTTTGGAAACCATAAACAAATGTCACTGGCCCCAAACTTTGACTATATATGTATGAATTTAAGGTGTTGACATCAGTGTTGTGTCTTCTGCTTCCAGCTGCTCTGTCTGAACCAAGGCCAGGTGAGGAGGAAGGATTCATGGTAACTTCTAGCCCCAGCTACTTCGTCCGCCTGGGGAAGCTGTCTGCCAAAGTTCGGGAGAGGGCGCTTGAGCAGTCCCTGCTTAGGGCCCGCAAGGCCAGAGACACTACCCATGCCACTGTGACTCAAATGACCAGCACTTTGGACCTGCTTGAAAGTACCCGTTCTACTTTGGCCAGTGCTAGCCAGCAGCTAGGGGGCGCTCCGGAGCAGTTATTTCAGAGATGGAAAGAATGGAAGGAAGGGCAGCCCAAAGAACTGCAGGAAAAAGTAACAGAACAGTCTGAGGTGGATGCAGCAAAAGGCAAGGGAGAGGTACAGATGCACTTTGTATTTGTTGTTTTTGGATGTATTTCCCTTTGAAAATACTATACAAAATATTAATATCTTCCTCAAGACACATTCTCAGTGAGTATATGTGGATATCTCATCATAGGAGCTGGAGTGGAGAGCCCTGTCAATGATACAGGGTTTGAGTGATCAGCTAAAGGTAGCATCTTCAGGTGTCGTGTCCAGCGTTCAGGGTCTCCCAGGCACCGTGCAGGAACAGCTTCTGAATGCTCGACACACAGCTGAAGAACTCCAGGCGTCTCTGAGGAGCACCAGGACACTCACACCCATTATCTTACAGCAGACGCGTCAGCAGGTAGCCCAGGTACAGTCAGTTTGAGTCGAGTGTATGCAATTTTGTACATCAACTGTCGTGATTCTGTTTGAATCTATTATTAAATGTACATAGAATTTAGGCAGTGTGTTGATCAATCTTCATCTTTTAACAGGTACGACAATCTTTGGATGGAGTCGTGGAGTACCTTCTCAATAACACTCCTCTCAATTGGCTGGTTGGGCCTTTTGCACCTCAGATAACTGAGAAAGGCGATTGAAAATGCCCGATAATCTAATGACATAGGTTAATATATGCTGCAAATTGTTGAATGTTGTAACCATTTGCATTTCAGAATTTTAACTAGTTTTTACTGAGTCATTAGACTCATAGTACATTTTTAAAATGACTGTATAATGAACATATAATTTTAGCAATGTCAGTATTTTAAACCAAGTATTGAAACCACTCGCGTATGGAAGCAGTGCAATGCAGGTTGTACATTGCCGTATAGCATTCAAACCTGTCGCACTATCAAATACTGAATACATCATACTTTCTCAATAAGAGCAAGCCACATAGTCCCTGGTTTTGTAATTCATGATGTTTATGTCATAACTCCTGCAAAAGAGACCTGTTGATTGTTTGAAATGCAAAATCAGTTGATAAATGAAATAAAATACTTTTGTGAAAGAAATTATTTCTATTTTTCTTCCATTTGTTTTTGCTCTCTGAGCTCTATGGAGAGGTAATATATAATATTTAAGCATTTCAGCATATTTAGGGTCATGTTTATGCAATATCACACAGAGATGCAATTACTTGCGTGGTGCCATCTTGCCGGTTGGGACCTTCACCTGAACTGTTCCCTGTTCCTGCCTAACTCAACCTGAGCTACTGAGTCTTTAGCCATTTTCAAATAACAGCTGAAGACACATCTTTCCGGCAACACTTGATCCATTAACACTAACACTTTGCTTTTCTCTTCCACTCTTATCTACTAAAAACAACAATAACGTATACTGTGTGTTAGACTAAACTGGAGTACCAGCTTGCAAATTGTTGTCCTTGTTAGTTTAATTAAGTCACTTTGGATAAAAGCGTCTGCTAAATGATTAAATGTAAATATACCAGAATTTTAATTTTAGCCAATGTTATGATTTCTATTCATAACAATGTTTGCAAATCAGTGAGTAATTAATTAGATAATGACTCATTTTATTTACCTGTGGGTCTTGGCAAAAATAGAATAATGCACACTGTTATAATATACTCTATATTGCATTAACATAAGAAGCTGAAGTAGGAAGCTTTGACATTGAAAATGAAATGATACACGTTTAAAATGCACGTGACCATTTTGCCCTCCCTATTCCTTAAGATATCTAACTTTTTCATCCATAACAATTCAAACCAACGTTGTCGCAAAACAAGCATATACATAAATACATTGCAAGTACAGAAATACTTGTGAATACTCCAAAGGAGTGAACGGCCATGAAACGAAAAGAAGAAGAAGAGAAATACTTGTATGTAAGCATTTGTTGGTGAGTGGGAAGTGTGATGATGATGGGGTTTCGACGAATTGCCAAATTGTTGCGCTTTGGGTGACGTCACACCCGTTGTTTCAGATGACGTTGAGAGAAGCAGGCCGCACGCGCATAGCAGGAACCTACTCTGTCAGATTTCTGGGGATCAAGGTCGTCGATTTCTCCCCAGTCTCACGGAAATACGGGTAAATATTCGAGCGAACGGAGGTTTTAAGCCACCGCAAGTGTTCGTGGGACGGTCTCGAGGTCCCAGCTGTCCGATTTGTGTGCGTGCCATCACGTCGGCTAGCCATTAGCAGAACTAGCGCGTTAGCCTGGCTAGTTGAATATCACAAACAAATCGACTTTCATCTATTCAGCAATTTCAACACGGACATCTGTACGTAGTGTTAAATATTTCGAAGGATTGTATTTGGTTTCGATGTCACTTTGACGCTGGCAACAGCTCGGTTTGTTGTTTGTCGCCATACTAGGGTCAAAGACAAAATGTTTTTCTAATTGCGGAGACGCTCTCTCAGCTGATTTTTACTGGACTTGCTCCAAAATAACCTATTTTTTTCCCGTTTATTTGGTAATCTGTCATCCGGATTTTTATGGTAAACTTCTATATTTCTATATTAAACACTTACTGCTGTATTTTTTATGCATTGAAGCGCAACTGTTGCCAGATTGTTAATCGTCGTTTGATCAGCAGGCTGTTAAGGTTTCTGTAACCTGGATCATTCGTTTGCTTGTTTGAGAAACAAAAAGCGAACAAAGAAACTATTGTTTTCAAGCAGCATATTGTCAGCATCTAGCAGGGTCTAAATAAATCAAAGGGGTTTAATTTGGGGTTTCACTCTAATGGGAGCCCAGCAACATTGAACAGTTTTACAAGTTTATTTTATAAACTTTGTCTCTCTATTTTGTCTTCCTATCTACTTTATATACATCGTTTGTTTTATATATGGTGGCGTTGTACAAATTCAACCATGTCAAGAGTAAATTAACAAAATATGGATGGATATGTTTTCTTCAAAACCTTTCAGCAACGTCAGTGGTAGAGCACAAAGGATGATGTCCAATTCGACGCATTTAATTTTAGTTTATTTGTATATTCTGATGTGTGTTGTGATAGGAGTTTTTAGTTCTAAATGTATTTATCACTTTATTTTACAGTGTCCATGTTATACATTACATTTACTCTATATTGCTAAAAAAAAGAATAAATTATGCATAATACAAGCAACTAAAGCAAACCCTAAATTAATATGCCTCCTTATGTATTTGTGTTATGACACTCTAACCAGGACACCTTAATAAGTGTAACCAAGTAAGTCATTTAAAAGAAAAAAAAATTCTGTCATCGTTTACTTGGCCTCATGTCATTACAAACCTATATGCTATTTTTTCCCAAACACAAAAATAGTTTTTAATAAATATTAGTGAGCATATGTTGTCAAGCCCCCAAAAGAAAAAAAAAGCCCCATAAAAGTGTAAATTATGCTGATAAAATGCTAATTATTCAACCGCATCTTTAGGATCGCCATCTCCCGTCCCCCTCACCCCCCTTCTCAAACAGCATGGCTCAGGAGACAAATCAGACGCAGGTGCCAATGCTTTGCACTATGGGATGCGGTTTCTATGGTAACCCTCGCACCAATGGAATGTGCTCTGTCTGCTACAAGGAACATCTGCAGAGACAACAAGGTGGGGGACGAAACAGTCCCCCAGGTGAGAAAGGTAAATCAAGTCTTTCAGTGTCAAATGCACCTATAGCATTAAGAACCTAATTTGTTCTCTTAGTTTTGAAGTTAAGAAGAGTTCATGGTTAGCTCCTTGTCTGTCTCTTCCAGCGGCTACATCTCCTGTAGGTTCCCCTGGTGCGTCTGCAGTTACAGTGGAGTCCACCCCTGTTCCCCCTACGGAAGCCGTTACCCCGCCTGAAGAACGCACGTCTTGGTAATAAGGTCTTTATAAATCTGAGACTGATCGTGCTTGAATTGGTTCAAACTGCAAGTGCAAAAACGGTCTGTAGCTCAGTGGTAATCTCTTAATGAGCTCAATCTGCTTATGATGGTATAGGAAGGAATTATAACAAAAACTCCTGTATTTGGTTGGATTGTGTTCATGCAGTAGTTCGACCAGCCCGGTGACCCAGCAGATGACTGCTATGAGCATCTCCCAGGACACGGCAACCAATGATTCAGACAGAGCTGAAGTGGAGGAGGAAGAGGAGGAGGGATCGTCTAAAAGCACAGGTCTGCTGTGTTCATTTGAATAGATGTACTTTCATTTTACAAGCACATTCTTTGGTTATTTGAACCGTTCATAACCGTTCAAAAAGCATTTTTTTGATTTCATATTATTATTTAGTTTAAATAATGTTATATTGTAAGCACACAATTTTAGTCTAAAAAAAGACAATCAACATAGGTTTTGTTTCAAAAATATGTTTTAATTCAGATAGATTTAATCTTGGTCATATTTAGTCAATTATGAAAGACCGGAGTAATATAATATAGAAATAAGAAATCAACCTTGAACAACCATATCCAAACTAAACCCCTGCTTTCAATTCTCTTTATGGAATACATGAATACTGTTGAATCATTAAATCATTGATTTGAGTATCATGTAGCCTCAGAAGACAGGAAGTTTATTGTGTTTTAGAAATTATCTATCAAAGGCTGGCCATGTGTTTAACAGGGCCAGTAGGGGAGGCTGCACAGACTTCATCAGATGGAGATCAGACCCCTGACAAGAACAAAAAGAAGAATCGATGCTTCACTTGTAGGAAAAAAGTTGGCCTCACGGGTAAGAGCCAAGGGAAGCGCTTTTTGTTCTTGAATGAGGGCTGGGCCGCACTTATCTTTGAGCAGACTTCAAAACTTTACAAAATAAAGCTTTAATCCAAAGCTGTTCTTTTTTTTGTTGTTTATTACTGCAAAGCTGCTCATTTTCCTTTTTTGTTGAAAGAATCAGCAGATTGTCTCCTAGTTTTATTATTCAAACAGTCTTATTCCCATTACCTAAGTTCATATAAACATTTGCATCCAACATGCTGGTTTGGTTCACAATATATTTCAATGTTTCATATATGAATACACTAATGTTATAACTTTGTCAAAACTATTTAAAAAACAACTACGGTACTATTATTCAGCAAGGATGCATTAAAGTGACAGTAAAGATTTGACATTTTTACTAAAGATTTCTCTTTCAAATAAAATGCTACTCTTTGAACTTTCTATTCATTAATGAATCCTGAAAAAATGGATCACAGTTTACACAAAAATGTTTTCAGCATTGATAATAATAAATGTTTCTCGAGCACCAAAGCAGCATATTTGAATGATTTCTGAAGGATCATGTGAAACTGAAGACTGGAGTAACGGAAAATTAAGCTTTGCCATAACTGATATACGTAAATTACATTTTAAAACTATTGTAGTGTAATATTTCACTAATATATATTTTAATAATTAAGCATAAGAGACTAAATTCAAAAACATAAAACTTTTGAACAGTAATGTATAATTTTCTCCCCATAATCGACTTGCATTTAAATTACCGGCATATGTCCATCAATTTTAGTTCATTTGTCCTAGTTTGAATCTGTATTCAGACATACTGCAGGTTGGTGCTGCATTTCACATGGTCCTGCTGGTATCCTACCCTTTCTTGAGAGAAATCACTGCTAAACGTTTTCACTCAGCAGGATTACATGACCATCTGAATCCACTCGCTTTTGTGTCTGTCTATAGGCTTTGACTGTCGCTGCGGTAACCTGTTTTGCGCTATCCACCGTTATTCTGACAAACATGACTGTCCCTACGACTACCGAGGAGCCGCTGCCGCCCGCATCCGCAAGGAGAACCCCATCGTGGTTGCTGAGAAGATTCAGAAATTATGAGGACTGATGGCTAAACGAGCAAAAATTGTTTGACCTGCAAGTTTTGGAACCATGGCGCTGAATAACACCATTCTAAAATGGGTTCATTTCTTCATTGTAGGATAAGGTGGGTGGGGTTGTAGGGTACAGCCCCTGCTTGGCCACTCCCTAAACTATCATCTCCCTGTCTCTCCCGGAAGGACGGTGTAGAGGTGTGTGTGTGTGAATGTGTGACATGTTGAGAAAAATGTGCGTGCGTGTGTTTGTTTCTTTTCTTATTTTCTTTTCTAGAGAGCCAGGGAGAAGAGGGATTGGTTGTCAGGTGGGCATCCATGTGAACTGGGGGGAGGGTGGACTCTTTAGTTTTTACCCTGGCATTGATTTTTGTTAGGATATTAACATTATTTTTTTATAGGAGCCCTGAGATGTGGGTTCAGGAATCATTGGAAGAGGTGGGTGGGGGCGTCATTGAGAGGGAATTTCTGTGATATTGCAAAACGTTGCTGAAGAAGACTATAGATTTTAATGACTACTCCCACATTTACCCATGTAAAATTCTTTTTCTGTGTTATTCTTTTTTTTTTTTTTTTTTTCTTTATTCTGGTTAATTATCCCAACATGTCAAATCCCAGCCTGTGCATTTAAAAATATTTCTCTTTTATATATTGACTTATCATGCTAATGTTGGGTGCATGAATAGTTATTGGATGGGGTTTAAAGGGGGGAGGGTGGGGCGTAGAAAGAGCCTTGACATAAGCGAGTGACTGTTTTATTTTATTTCCTTTTCTGTTTTAATGAGTGTATGGCATCAGAAGATCTATATTAATATATTGTACGTAGCTTGAATTGTGTGATTGCATTCTATTTATTTCGTATTATCATTTGGTTGGTTGATACTGGAGGATTGGAAGCATGTGTCCAAAAAAAACAAAAGTATAACCCATTTGTAGGAAACCTTTAACAATATTTAAACATTTTGCTCCATTTACATATGAATTTTCCAGAATTATAGGTCCTGATGGAGTCACATTAGATTGGGCTGAAAAAAAATCTTGCTTTTCAGAATCAAAGCACAAGTATGTTCAGTTTCTTCGCACAAACACAAAAAAGTGCAGTTAGCGTAGGAGCCTTAGTGCTGTACGGAACCTAGCAGGCCTGTTGTTGCTAATGCACGCCAGCGATGAACTATTATGACCTTTTACCTCAGAGTCACAGAGCTTTGAGAGCAAGGTATTTGTTACCACCAGCAGACCATTGAATGATGCTAATGGAACCGGCTAGTAATATGTTTATTAGGTGACGCCTTTCCAGTTCCAAGACATGTATTTACAATTAATACCGCTGTGCTTATGATGTCATAGTGGAAAATGCACACACTTCTCCTAACAGATTAACGTTGCATGCTCACACAGATATTAGGCCAAATGCAGTGTTTGCTAAAGCCACATTTTACATTGCTACAAGAATGTAAAACGAAACAGTGTCCCGTCGCACGGGCGAATGGAGCCTGCTATCCAAACGAACAGGTTTCTTCTATTATCTAATGTAAATATTAAATGGCTAAATAGAATGTTTAGAAAGAAGGTTCAGAAGGGAAAAAAACATCCGTTTCGTGTGTATGTAGTGTTTAACTATCCATAGGTAAGGAGAAAGATGCAATGCGGTGTTCTCTGTCATCCTTTGAGTGAATCTTGTATCTTTGTGCTGGTTGTGTTTTTAATTACTACTTTGTTGTTGTAAAAGGGCTGAAACAACCATTTTGTATTTATCCTTAATGTTGTCCAGCTATCTTCCCCTGTGATGTCTTTGGATGTGCACATTTTTCCATGATTCATTCACAACCCCTTGATTTCAAGACTTGTTAAAAGCAACTTGGTGGATGTAACCGATTTGAAGTCCTGGTAATGAGCTTGCTGCTTTATTAAGGAAATAACCTGAGCTTTAATTAGCACCGTCTGCGATTGCGGCATTATCCTCAGTGGGGCTGCCAGCTCAAGAGGGCTTTTGTGCAAGGCAGGTGTCGGTGGCTCAGAGTATTCACGCCATGCTTGGCTGAGCCGGCATCCTGACAGCCTTTTAATGAGGGTTGAGATCTCACTCTTTCTGTCTGCACCATTGGCTTGAGGATAATCCTACCTTTCTAGGGTTTAAGTGTAGGCAGACATACAGACATGTGAAAGGTGGTGTATGGAAATACTGGACTCCTGATTTCTAGTGAGATTGTTGTAGTGTGTGTGGTGGGCACAATACTGTGAATGTAGTCTGTCTGACTATGAAGCTCCAGTGGGTGGAAAGCCAGTTAATGTTGCCTTCAGTGTCTTATCAGATCATTGGCACTATATGCCAGTGCATTATCCCTTCTATGCTAGCAATGATTAACTGTCCTCATTGCATGTTATTGAGCAAAATAGTGAAGTGACGCAGTTAAAAAAGAATGCCTTGATTTTGGTGAAGCTGTTGATTGAACTTTCTCCCTGTAGTTCATCAGAACATTCGGATGAGTGACGCGAGTTCGGCAGTACATTAACCAGCATTCGTGGGTTAATTTAGCAGCGTGCCCAGTCCCCCAGAGACACCACCAGATACCTTTGTTTTCTTTTGAAATTTAGGATTGTATGATGTGTATGAGTAAGTATAAAACCAATAAAATCACAAAGTTTATTTTAAATTTACACAGTGTTTTGTTGTGCAAATACTTTTCCAGGACATCTAAAGCAGCGTTTTTTAACCAGATGGGGCTTGGCAAACTTCCAAAGGTCTTCAATAAGTTTTAAAAGTATTTTAGTAACAATTAAAAGGCTTAAACTAAAAGGTAATGGTGTACAAAATAAAGGTGTTAGAGGTATCAACTTAAATAGGACAACCTTTGAATGTTGTCTTGGATAAAGGGGGACTTGAAGTCAATAAAGGTTAATAACCCCTGATCTACACTGTTCAAATTAAAGGTTCCAAAAGGGGTGTTTTTGTAGTGATGCAATAGGCCTTATTCAGAGCAGCGCCATCCTTGGTTTTTAATGAGAAAAAAGTGAGGCTGTAAGGTATAGACGTACATCTCTTAGATGGATTGTACTGTTATTTAATGTGTTTTTTACACTGCTAAAATATATTTCCAAGACATTTCAGTTGACAAAATTGGAAAATTGTAAGTGATCTAGGAGCTTTACACTGCTTTTCGCAATGGATGCCATTGAAAAAAACATGGTAAGTCTATCCCTCACAGCCCTCAGCCCTGCTTTCCATCATGGCGCTGCTCTGGATAAGGTCTATAGAAGAGCCATTTTTAGGTTCCTTTTGGGACCCTTTCTTAAAGAAGTGTGTTAGTGAGAGCGAAAGAGAGACAAAATAATGTTTCAATAATATGAATAGCCTTTTCCCACTATGAAGAACCTTCTGTGCACTGGAAATGTTTCATGGATGTTAACGGTTCTGCATGGAACCATCAATGCCATGAAGAAACATTTATTTTCAAGAGTGTAGTGCATCTGTTTTGCTGAAAATATACTTGAAGTGAATTAAACTGTTGTACCTTTGCACAAACCGCCCACATGACTCATACACATGGGAAACTTGGAAATAGTTGACTCCAGGAAGTGGTGTAGGTATTTAATGATCACCCAACCAACTTAAGCTGAAGATTTCTTAGCCCTCCTGACATTTCTTCAAGCAGAATGTCCTTTCATGCTGTGATATTGAGTAAACAGTGACGATGTGCTGTGTGTGCATATGAATCGCCCTGTATTATTGCCACATCTCGGCTGCTGCCCATCACACAGACAATTGTCTTCATTCACAGGTTACTGTCATTGTGCACTTGTGTGGTTTTAAGTCTCCAGGTTTAAAAGGGTTAATATTTGTCTGTTAGATTTAGTGTTACCACGTGATTCCATTGTAATAATTTGGTTGAGTCAAATTACAGCTATGGAACCTTTAAAAGATATCTCCTATACATAGCCTACTTTAAACTTATTTTATTTTTGTCAAGACCGTAGTTTTTGTTTTTTACATTTATCATGTTTAATGTATTTTAGCGTATAACACTTACATTGTGGTCGTTGTTTTAAAAATAGTCAGTGTATTGTGTGACTTGGAATAGTATATAGAATAGAAATAGATTATACAACTTTATTTAAATGGAAGAATTTGGTATTTCTCTCGCATGACTGAAATCATCAGCTGTCAGGCAGATTTTACAAAGCTACGACAGCAGATCTGACAGAAGTTCCTTGGATACTCCTCCCGCTATGTCATGTTAGCGTAATTTCCGGATGCGATACAGTAAAGAGCAAAGACGTTTAACAGGAGGCACAACCACGTCCACTCTGCATGTTTTCTGCACTGAAGTAGCGTCGAGTCACGTTCTACTCAGCGGACCTTCTGATTGGTTACATGCCTTCTGACACTAGTTTGGTTCTATTTTATTATTTTAAAATAGCACAAAGGACTGTAATGTCTTTTTAAGGCAAAGATATGTTTGCATGTATTAATAAAGTTATCAGACAATCTGGTATTGATAGTGAAGCTGAAAGAAAGTTACCCCGAAGAGAAAATGTTAATGCAATTGATAAACTGATTATATATGCATACATACAGTTATTTATTACTGCCCATACAAATGCACTTCAAATAGGCCTAAATCCTAACATTTTTAGTAGTTAGTAAGGGGGGCTTGTTTTGTAGTATGTTTTGAGTGTAAAAGTGTAGTGAAGATAATAGGTAGACACTCAGTCTATGTGCTAGTTCTGGATTTATCATCAAGTTCACTCAGGTGTGTCGGCCAGAACACCTCTTAAGGCCAAATGTTCCAGAGTATGAAATAAATAGTGGAGAAATAATTCTGATTCTGTTTCTTTATTCCTCTTTCTTGCAATTCTGAGAGTATTGGTGTGTGTGTGTGTGTGTGGTTTCTATAAAGAGAGAAACAAATTACAAATGAATAAATCAAACATATGCATGCACTCATTCCTCTCTATGCACTAATATACATTACTAAACAAAAGCAAACAATAATCAGCATATAACTATACAGTATATCTCTTAAACTCTAATACTGTAAGAATAATGTAAAGATTCAAACACTTATAAAGGATCCTCAGATTTTCCATTATAAGTAAAATTCTAACAACACTTACTACTTTTAATACTCAACCACAAAGTACTGATCAATCCTAACAAATATAAAGGATAAACACATCTAAACACGATATTACTATCTTTAACCTGACGTACTAAATCAGATGAGTCGAAGCTCGTACGTGAAATGTACTAACGCGAATATAATTAGCACCTCAGTCTCAAATCGACTCCTTAAACTCCTAACTCTTATCTACATCAAATAACAGAAATAACTACTTTAACTAATAATATAATACCACAGTTTTACTTACTTTTTTCATTTACGCACACTCTGAGGGAAAGTGCAGCTCACACAACCGACTGACCAACCGACTATCTCTATCGTACTGCATACTAAGTATGTGATGTCAGATAGTATACAAACCAGCGCGCGCCTCAGCCACCGTTATAAGCGCTGAATCAACGGAAGTCAATGTGAAACATAAACCCTAATATGGTCAACTACACTAAATAATAGCAACACTAAAATAACTTTGGGGCCTTTTCTACAGCCGCCCCCGAATGTATGTAATACATTCGCTCATCAATAAAGGCAACAAAGTTCTATGGCTGGGGTGTGGTTGCAGGAATGGAACCGTCACCATCTTCTCCAGAAGGAAGTGCAGGGAGGACAACCAGCCTGGCAACTGGCCGTGTGTAGATCCTTTCCTTAACCTTTACATCAGCGGACCTGATGTGCCCGTCAGGGCTGGGATGAGTCTTGACCACTTTCCCAATGGGCCAGAGGGCCCTCGGAAGATGAGGATCAGCGATCATCACTACACAGTCCCCTGTAATATCAGGTGGTGTAGCCTGCCACTTCTGGCGAGCTTGGAGACTTGGCACATATAGCCGGATGAAACGGGCCCAAAAGTGGTCGGCCAAAACTTGGGAGTGTCTCCAACGGCGGCGACAGATGAGCTCACTTTCAGGGTAGACTACCTGAGGTAACGAACCATCAAGCCGCCCCATAAGAAGAACACTGGGAGTCACTGGATCTGGGTCGCTGGCATCTGAAGACACATATCCCAAGGGCTTACTGTTAAGGATCCCTTCAACCTCAGTAAGTACGGTGCGAAGCACTTCTTCCGGAACAGGTTGAGCACCGACTGTGGCATAGAGTGCACTCTTAACTGAGCGTATCTCCCTCTCCCATACCCCTCCGAAGTGAGGAGTGGCTGGGGGGTTAAAACGGAAGGAGATCTTCTGTGGAGCAAGGAGATGTTGTAGTTCATTAGACATTCCAGCGAAGGTCTCACGTAGTTCTCGCTCACCTCCCTTGAAATTTGTTCCTTGATCGGAAAACAGCTCAGCAGGTGTTCCCCTACGGGAAATGAACCGACGAAGGGACATCAGAAAGGCATCCGTATCAATGGAGGTAAGGAGGTCCAAGTGCACCGCCCTCGTTGTGAGGCACTTGAAAATGATCCCCCATCTCTTCTCCCGGCGCCGGCCAACTTTGACCTCAAATGGCCCAAAGCAGTCCATCCCTGTAGAGTAGAAAGCCGGCTTGTAAAGACGCAGACGGGCTGATGGCAGGTCTGCCATTTTCGGCACTGCAGGTCTTCCCCTCCATCGCCGACAGTCAGCACAGCTATACTGATAGCGCCGGACAGCCTCACGCCCTCGTAGGATCCAGAAGGAGCGTCGAAGCTCTGCGAATACCCGCTCTGGGCCTGGGTGGAGGAGGCGATTGTCGAAGTCTTGGATCAAGAGCGTAGTTACTCGATGACCTGGGTCTAAGATGACTGGATGAAGAGTGGTCAGCTCTAGGCCTTCTGCTCGACGGAGTCGTCCTCCAACACGAATGAGCTCTCCTTTTTCATCCAGCTCTGGAGACAGCGTGCGGAGTCGACTGCTGCTAGGTACTGGTTTACCAGCTTTCAGGAGGCTGTACTCTTGCTGAAAGCTATCCCTTTGAGCCCTCTGAAGTATTAACTGTTCAGCCTGTCGGTAGTCTTCAGCTGTAGGCTTGTAATTAGAGTTGGCCGCCCCATGCAGCTCCTGCACTGTCTCTTCGAGCAGCTCCTTCCACGAGTCGTACTGACTCACGTCTGAAGTCGACTGGCTTGATGCAACTGCGGCGACCCCACAGAAGGTAGACTTGCGCAGCTCTGAGTTATCTTCTGCTTGTTCTACAGCAGGGTCCTCTGGCCATGAGTTCGGACTGGTCAGGAGGAAGGCAGGTCCACACTTGATGACATAGCCCGCCTTTATAAGTTTCTCCATCTCCACTCTGTAGGCTTCTGCCGGTGCAGGATCTTCCAGTCGCCTCTCGACACTTCGTAGACTGGGCATGACGTCTTCTTTAGTTGCCTGAAAGAGCGGCATGTCTCTCTTGCGGAGCAGCGGGGTAGCGTAACGTAGAATGCCATCTACCTCTACCCTGATGGTTTTGGTCTCCAGGATGGGGATGGCCTCTTGGTCCGGTCTTGAGCGAGTAACTAGTTTCTCACTTCTGAATGGAACATCGTCGACCTGCCATAATCTCTCAACATGTTTCATCAGCTCACTCTGGTGGGGTGCTACTGTTGTAAATAGACACTGCCGTGGTTGGGTGAGGTGACAGACTACACTCGCTGGGCCCTGCAGTGTCCAGCCCAGCCTTGTGCAGATGGCAGCAGGCCCTCCTGGAGGTCCTAATCTGACAGGTTCAATGGGAGTGACGAGATGGGGGTGGTCACTCCCAATTAGAAGCAAGGGCTTAACATCCATAAGGGTCTGTATGGGAAGGCCAATGAGGTGCTTGTACGTGTTCCTGAGTTGTTCCATGGGGTAAGTATGTGCAGCTAGTCCAATACAAGCACTGGTGAATGCACCTCTAATCTTGAACTTAGACTTTGGCTTTGACGGCGAAGAAATGGAGAACGACACTGATGCACCACGGAGGGTCCGCACTTCATCTCTGATTGTGCGTAATGGAAGGTCCTCTTGAATCCCCTGCACACCTAGCTTCTCCGCAGCATCTGGCAACAGCATAGTTCTCTCTGAACCGTCGTCAAGTATGGCATAGGTGTTGATTGATTGGTCACCATGGTGAATGCGGACTTTGACAACTTTCAGAAGAACCCGACTGCCTTCAGTGGGTCTGTCTAAATACAGAACCTCTGTTGTGCCCCTTAAGCCTGGGCTATCCGCTGCCGGTGTTGACGATGCCTCCTTAGGTGACCTCATATTCACCTCATGCAGAACCTGGAGGTGTTTCCCTTGGCAGAGGCTGCATGTCTTTTTTAAGTTGCACTGAGCCGCCTGGTGTGGCCGTGCACATCGCCAACACCTCTTGTTCCTCTTTATCCATTCAATCAGCTGATCCTTAGTTAGCCTGGATACCTCTGTACACTGGCTGAGGTAGTGTTCCTCGTTATTGCAGAATGGACAGTATGGCTTGCTCTTGTTCCCTTTGAAGGAGCTGCGTGGCACTGGAACCTCAGGTTTCTTAGCTGTGTCCTTCACACCATGGAGGACAGAGGTAGGTTGCTTACCCTTCCTACCCTCTTGACGGAACACTGGCTTCTCCCGCACTCCTCTCACAGCTAACTGTCCTTCAAAGTCCTGGCACCAAGACTCGTACTTCAACCAATCTGAAAGATTAGTTAAGGTGTGGGTTCTTGTTCCCTGATGATACATGCATCGGCGAAACTCTGCTCTTTGCTCAGATGGCAGCTTGCTCAGCAGACGAGAAACATGTGAGCCACATTGTAGTTCCACTTCACCCTCGTGGCCTAGTGTTCTCAGCATTCCCACGAGTGACTGTATTTGGAGTGCAAACTTCTCAAATGCAGCAAAGTCTCCCCGCTTTATGTCCGGTGAGTCCAGCACAGCAGCAATACGCCTCAGCGCTATCTGATGTGGTTGGCCAAACTTGTCATTCAGGGCAACCATTGTGTCGGAGAAGGGTGTCGGAGAGTTAAGGTAAGCATCTGCTATTAACCTAGCTTCTTCTAGTTCCAGATGATCGACCAACACTTGGTATTTAAACAGCTCAGATGCGTCATGTGGTAAGAGGTTCTCCAATGAGATCTTGAGCCGTGCGAACTCACTTGGGTCCCGACTGGCGAAGTTGGGGATTGTTGGACGTGGCCCACGGTAACTTGGCTCTGGGATGTTGGAGTTATAACCCTGCGGTGATTTAGAGGGCTGTGCCCATGCCATGCTTGAATGTCGCTGTTGGGGCGTTGGGTTGCAGCCAAGGTCACTCCGTTGACCACCATAAGCTGTAGGGTACTTGGGCTCCGCTGGATGTGGCTGCGGCAGAAACTGAACGGGCTTGAACCAGGGCGGTGGATAACGGGCAGTGTCATCCCATGGCTTTGCAGTAGGAAGGGCCTCATGTGCTGAGTGATAAACTTGTGACTGGCCCACAAACATGCCAAGAGCTGGGGGTGGCAGTGCTTCTTCCTTAGTTCTTGGAACCTCATCTATTCTCCTAATAAGTGAATGTAGCATAGGTCGGTCACCTGGTATAAGTTCGTCAATTACTGGGTCTGGCCATGGTGGTGGTGCAGGCCAATCATCCTCTTCTTCAGCGTTGAGTTCACTTTCTACAAGTGGCTGTGATGACATCACTGTTAACTCTGGCTTTCTGATATGAAGAGAGGTTGGAGACTGCATGTTGCGAACAGAATCCACTAACTGTCTCATGTCTGCTCGCAGAGCTCTAAGCTCAACTAAGTCTGATGCCATGTGGCGCTGTGTCTGCTGCAGGAGGTGTCTTTCATGACGAATGTCATCTAACTCAACTCGGCTGTCATTCTGCGGATGTACTGGATGCAGTGCTGAAGGTAAGGGAGTAGAGTAATTTCGTAGCTGTTCCCTAAACTCTCTCTCTGGAAACCGCTGGGCCTGGGGGGCTAGCTGCTTCTTCTGGCTGTGCTGTTGGCTCTCAGCCCTATAGCCCAGGTCCATCTCCTGAAGAATAGCATCCCGCCTCTGGCGTCGCAGGGGAGAGTCTGGTGGGGAGGTGAGGGACGTCATCCTGGCATTTCCCTCCTGGTGAGAACTCTCTGATTCCTCTCTGTACCTCTGACCGATGTAGCCTCTATAATCAACCTCATAATCTGCATAGCGCACAGGTAGGTGGATATGCCGTCTGGGACGTGCACCAATAGCATCATACTCTGGATGTCGTTCCATCTCTGATGTGAACCCAGTGAATCCGGCTCGAAGGACCATCAATGTAGTGAAGATAATAGGTAGACACTCAGTCTATGTGCTAGTTCTGGATTTATCATCAAGTTCACTCAGGTGTGTCGGCCAGAACACCTCTTAAGGCCAAATGTTCCAGAGTATGAAATAAATAGTGGAGAAATAATTCTGATTCTGTTTCTTTATTCCTCTTTCTTGCAATTCTGAGAGTATTGGTGTGTGTGTGTGTGTGTGGTTTCTATAAAGAGAGAAACAAATTACAAATGAATAAATCAAACATATGCATGCACTCATTCCTCTCTATGCACTAATATACATTACTAAACAAAAGCAAACAATAATCAGCATATAACTATACAGTATATCTCTTAAACTCTAATACTGTAAGAATAATGTAAAGATTCAAACACTTATAAAGGATCCTCAGATTTTCCATTATAAGTAAAATTCTAACAACACTTACTACTTTTAATACTCAACCACAAAGTACTGATCAATCCTAACAAATATAAAGGATAAACACATCTAAACACGATATTACTATCTTTAACCTGACGTACTAAATCAGATGAGTCGAAGCTCGTACGTGAAATGTACTAACGCGAATATAATTAGCACCTCAGTCTCAAATCGACTCCTTAAACTCCTAACTCTTATCTACATCAAATAACAGAAATAACTACTTTAACTAATAATATAATACCACAGTTTTACTTACTTTTTTCATTTACGCACACTCTGAGGGAAAGTGCAGCTCACACAACCGACTGACCAACCGACTATCTCTATCGTACTGCATACTAAGTATGTGATGTCAGATAGTATACAAACCAGCGCGCGCCTCAGCCACCGTTATAAGCGCTGAATCAACGGAAGTCAATGTGAAACATAAACCCTAATATGGTCAACTACACTAAATAATAGCAACACTAAAATAACTTTGGGGCCTTTTCTACAAAAAGTGAACACAAATTCTGGAAAGAATGCACATGTGTTACTGTGAATATGATTGTTTTTGTAAATACAAAAAAATAATAATTCTGATTGGTTAATTATTTCTATATTCACAAATCTATGTATATTCAAATATAGCCTATTCCATGTTATAGCTAGGTACGAACTCTTAATTAAATGAATCAAGAATGAGAACAATTTTATTACATTTGTTTTGTTTTGTCTTTTTTTTTAAATAAAGTATATTAATTTATTATACAATATCATGTTTGAAAATACCAGTTATTAATAATTTTATCCTTCAACCCAACAGATTTTTAATCAATGTTTACTTACTATTTCCCACCACTAGCGCCTGTCACGTCAAGCAGTTTCACTACCAGACGCAATGAAGAGTGGGAAGGCTAACTAACATCTTTGACCGGAGTGGAAAAACAGCTCTATTAGCATATACCAGCAGATTATTATTACATGACAGGACAGTAGCCGGAAATCAACTCGAAACGACAAACCAGAAATTGAGTTTTATTCCTGTAGGGCTCTGCTTTTTATTTGCGGATGAGATATGTCCTCGACGGCGTCCAGGCCTTTATTTGTTATCTGAGAGGAGTCGTAGCTGACTGGCTAGCTGGCTAACTCCTCCCTGCCCCCTCACTACGAGCTAGCTACTTAGCGATAGAGGTGTGAAAATATAAAGAAATCCGGCTTTGGCAGGCTGTGGTCAAGAGAACGACACGTATGTGGAATATATATTTACACAAAAATGTGTTTGTTAACAATGTAGTGTTCATTTGCAGCTGAAATGAGGTGTAAATTTTGTGTTAGCGGGAAGCGGGTCTGTTGGGGCTGATGTGACCACTGGTGGATATTTTACATTGGAGCCTTTTAAACCGGGAATATCAGACAATATGTATTATTTATATTTGTTGTCTATACAGTGTCCGATAGCAGATAGACTATCAATTTTAAGCTGGCAAGAAGAGTATAGCTGGGAGATAGGTTTACTGGATGCCTGAGTTAATTCTACCTGGGTATTACTTATTAACTATTTGTTTACTGTTGGTGCTTTTTGCCCGTTTTAGTCGTCGTAGAGAATGTAGCACAATAGATTTATAAAAGAGAAGCTCTATCATAATTTTGGTTTTGCAGGTGCCTGAATGTATTATTATTTTTTAAATAAATGATCGTAAATTGGATGTGTTAAATTAGTTATTTGTGTGGAGAAAAAAATGAAAAAAGAAATCAGCAACACTTCTGAGAAATATCAATAAATTGGTGTACATTCACATGAGATCATACCAGTCTTCTTGAAAATGCTGTTTAGTTGTACTGGGAGGGTTGGGGTTAAGATTCGTGACCCATGGGTGCCGCCATGTTGAGATCACATGACCAGTGGTGGCATATAATAATAATAACAATAATAATGTTTTATTCTTTCAGTCAGTGCTTGAGGTAGAAAGCATAATCATAGAAGTACATCCAAACAAAACTAGCAATATAACACCGAACACAATTAACATGAAACAGAGCCCAGTTAAAACTGAATAAGTATAAAAATACATAAAATGTTTTGTGTTGAATATGTTTTGACCTTGATCTCCTGTCTTCTTTCTTGCAGTTGACAATGAATGGCCTTTCTGTGAGTGAGCTGTGCTGCCTGTTCTGTTGCCCCCCCTGCCCCAGCCGCATCGCTGCCAAGCTTGCCTTCCTGCCCCCTGAGCCTACCTATGCCCTCCTGCCCGATTTGGAGGCCGGGCCGGTACCGGCCGGACCAACGGGAACGTCAAGCTTGCGCTCCCGGGTAGGAGGTGGCGGTAGTGGTGGGAGTTCGATAGGGGGTGTGAATACCACTGGAGAGGGGCGCTGGAAGCTCCACCTCACAGAGCGGGCAGAATTTCAGTACTCCCAACGGGAGCTGGACGCCACGGAAGTGTTCCTGACTCGCTCTAGTCGGGGAAACAGAGTGGGCTGCATGTATATCCGCTGTGCCCCCTCTGCCAGGTAGGATTGGACACATTTTTGGATTAGTAATAGGGGCTTTCGCACCAGGTAGCTATAGGAACTTAGTTATAGGAACTAGCCACCAGGGTTCAGAGAACTAAATGTTCCCCTAGGGACCAGTAGCAACTCATAAGCCTAAGTTACATAAGAAACGCTTGTTGTGACTTATTTTGACAGCACTGAAAACGGCAGAGCCTGAGCACACAGCACTCCCATTCCCTGTCTTCATTAGTTAACAGTCTAATGGAACTGTTAAACAAAGAAAGTAAACCATATGTTAGCGTTTGCTATGTGGTTGATGCCCAATGTTTCTAGCTGAGCAAAATCATGTTACACCTGGTCCCTTAATGTTGCGTTGGATTTACTCCTTAGCCTAAAGGTTGAGAGGTCCATCTATCACTGTGTTCATAGAGTTACTTTTTGGAGTAAATATGTGGGCTATAAACTGTGTGTACACCACTTTTTTTTAAATGGTGGGGGCTGGTGTTTTGCGTGCGTTCGGCCAATCAGTGTACAATTATGTCACTGGTTGTTCCTATTGTGCTGGGTTAGACCCTACTCTGAAGTAGCAGAGTAGTAGCTAATTTAGTTCCCATTAAAATCATTTCCAGTTCCTGTGGGGCAAACACGCCAAAAAACGGGTACTTCTACCTGCAGTAGAAGTAGTTCTAGGAACTATAAAAACGTTCCTCCGGTGCGAAAGCCACTAATGTTTGGAGGGGCCTTATTTATAGTTTTCACAATAATATATGTTGAACTCAAAGTGTCACGTTTCCTCTGATGGACCCCCCTTTTCCTCCCAAGGGTCATTTACATTCCTTTTTTTTCATCTTTCCTTTGTCCCATTTCCTGCTTCCTTCTCCGAGTTTGTCTGCTATCTTTACCCAGAAGCCACTCCTTCCTGGACGCATTCTTTCTTTATCACAAGCCGCTTTATTCCCACTGTTGTTACTTGTTCCTTTGTTCCTTTATTTCCTCTTTAAGAGTGATTTCCATTGGATGAGTACAGAGGTTTTTGTTGTGCTCGATATTGTGGACGTCTTTTCACAATAGATGTCTTCTCTACTCTACACAAAGTACGTGTTATTTCGTTTTGAAAGTCTGGATTTGATATAAGTTTTGTTATTATTAACTTAAGCAATTAAAAATAGTTCTTTTATTGAAATAAAGCTGACATTAAAATATGACAGTGACATGACGTTAAGGCCAAGAATGGTAACCCATACTCTGAATAACTGAAATAAGTACTGAAATTACTAAAACAAACTCAAATTAAACCTGAATAGAAATATGAATAATGACAATAAATTACTAAAATTAAAATTAAAATATAAAAGATCATTCAAAATATTATTAAATACTTTAATGGTACATAATTCAAATTCAATGACACTGTTTGATATACAGCCAGCCGTGTTTTTTTGCCATGCAGATTATTTGAAAATAAATCTACACACATACATACACACCCCTGTTAGTTATGAATCCATTCCCTCCAGCGTATCGGGCTCAGTGCTCACTCCAGATGTGTTTACATGCAGTGATTCAGCAAATGAAATGATAGGTTATTAAATGTCTGGATCCGTCTTGATTTAGATGTTGAGTCAGACCCTGAAATAGTGTAATGAGCATATTAGAGAGTGACTTTGTACAACAGTTCTCATCACCCTATTTCTCCATCTCCCCTCAGGTTCACTGTCCTGTTCTCCCATGGTAATGCAGTGGATCTAGGCCAGATGAGCAGCTTCTATATCGGCCTAGGCACTCGAATCAACTGTAACATATTCTCCTATGATTACTCCGGCTACGGGGTCAGCACGGGGAAGCCCTCGGAAAAGAATTTGTATGCAGACATAGATGCAGCGTGGCAGGCTCTACGCTCAAGGTGAGACAATCAATACCAGGGCACAACCAAAACAACTGTGTATGTGCATAGTACGGCTAAAGTTTTATAGTGCTGCATCTAAATGTATAAATCATTTTAAAAGTTTGCAAGAAATAATTTTATTTAGCAAGCACCCATTAAATTGATCAAAGGTGGCATTAAATACACTTATAATGTTACAATAAATGGCTGTTTCTAATTTCTATTCATCAAAGAATTCTGAAAAAATGCATCACGTTTCAACAAAAATATTAAACGGCACAACTGTTTTCAATATTGATAATAATAAGAAATGTCTTTTTAGCACCGAATCAGCATATTAGAATGATTTCTGAAGGATCATGGTGACATTATAGACTAGAGGCAAATTGAAAGCACATCTTTCTATTGTCTTGTCCTCGCTGGCTGCTCACAAACATTTGATTTGTTTATGACTCTTATGACTCAGTTCATTTTAATAAATCAGTCAAAGTATACTGTATATACATTTTTTTTTTTATCTCTTCAGGAGTTGTTGATTTGAATCAGACTAACAACTCACTCAATTGGTTTGAGCTTGACTTTCTGAACCATAAGCTATTACTTTCGCCATGAAATGAGAACTGGTATTGTGTTCATTGGTGGCTTGTAAGATTTAAATTTGTGTAGTTATTCACTTGTTCCTCATATATGAGGAATGATGTTAAATATACACTTTTTTTAAAATGGTAATGTTACTAAAAACATTAATTAACCTAAAAGAGTATTATTTTTAGTTGAGCATTTTCCTTTGCTATATAAACCTTTCTTAAAAGTGCTAATGAATCCGTAAGAAACCATTCAATAAGCTAAATGAACAGAGATCAATTTTCTTTAATTCAGGAATGAGAATTTTCTCAAAGGCTGATGAAAATTCACATTCCACTCAATTTTTTTGCAAGCAATCTGAAAATCGTACTGCTCTTGGTGTGAATAGGCTGTAAATTACATGGACACGAAGCGCTTATTTGTTCAGTGTATGACATTTAATTAGCTTTTGATTCCTCTCCTTCAAACAGGTATGGCATCAGCCCAGAGAATATTATCCTGTACGGACAGAGCATTGGCACAGTCCCCACGGTGGACCTGGCATCACGATACGAGTGTGCGGCTGTGATACTTCACTCTCCTCTCACCTCTGGCATGAGGGTGGCCTTTCCCGACACTAAGAAGACTTACTGCTTTGACGCATTTCCCAAGTGAGTGCCAAAAATCATTAGGTTCTTACTTGTCCTCGATTATTTGTGTCATCTTCCCATTTTCACTAGAGGTCTGACAGGGCTCATCATTGTTAATGAGCTGATGATTTGCCTGCTCATGGCCAGCACAGATTGCTGCTATTTATGAGCGATTCACTGGGTTTTGATTTTGGCGAAAGCAAACGGAGTGTGTTATGATGTGGATTGCTGACTGAGATTATACTGAGCTTCTTGTTTTGACACAAAATGGGAATCAGCCTTTTCATTCTTGAAGTTTGATTACAATAATTTTCATTGCATTTTGGCTGTGACCGCAATGTTGTGGAGCTCAGAGGGAGTGGGCGGTGTCATTCAGTGCCAGTGTTGTAGAACACATGGTCACATACAGCTGCAGTCAAAACCACCACTGTTCTCGCACAAGTGCTGTGTAGTTGGCTGGCAGCTGTTTAGTTTTCACACACAATTGAAAATATACTTGCCTAGATACATTTCCAAAATGTCAAAATTGCTCAAAAATGACGTTTGAATATTCCATGTAAAAGAAACGCATATATTGGAACATCTGGTTGCGCATTATGTCAATAACTGGACAAATTAATCAAAGAGACTACTTGTATAGACCATTTCACAAGATGTAAACAACACTGGTCCAGAAGCACTTCCTGTTTCAGTTTTTTAACACTACATAAAAGCTGGGATAAAATACAACCAACAGAACATATAAAACTGAATCAAAAAGTTAAACATCTTTAAGATGTTTTCTGTACATGTGAAATAAAGAAAACAGTTACAAACTGAAACAGGAAGTGCTTCTGGACCAGTGTTGTTTACATCTTGTGAAATGGTCTATAGGTAGGTTATTTAAGTTTAAACATATTTGATAAAGTATTACCTACACAAAAACAAGTAAATCAACTAATGGGCAAAACCACAGACCTCACTCGCACTCACAGGCACTCTCGCCCTTTCTCTGCGCATAACGGTTTAAATGAACAACAACAGTAAATGTAGAGTGCTGATCAAGAGTTTTGTGCAAGCAATTAAGGTTGTGACTCCAAATATGGCAGGCTTCATCCAGTGATTGAAACAAATATTATTAACATTAATTGAAGTTTTACATTATATAAAAGCAACATTGAACGCTCCGAGCGACTGCGAGCTGTGCTGTGATAAATTTCATGGAACTTTTCCTTGACAAGAAACGGTAAATAATCAAACCAGTGGAAGCCTGCAGTGCATGAAACTGCTTGTTTTAACCTACCTTATTCGTGCAATATCTATTTAGTCAGTACAGTAAGCCTACACTTTAGTAATGTTCCCTCAGGCCCACTCGCAGCAGACAGCCGTGCCTCTGCTACCGCAGACGTGTTTTTCCACATTTGAATATTCATTTTCACCTTCAAAATTCTGATTTTTCAAACTATTCAAAATATTGTTGGTTTTAATTACCGGTATTGTGTACTACTGTTCAAAAGTTTGGAGTTGATGTTGAATTTCGGCAGCCATTACTCCAGTTTTCCAGAAATCATTCTTATGCTGATTTGATGCTCAAGTCAAGAAACATTTCATATTATTATCAATACTTTATTAATTAAAGGGATAGTTCACCCAAAAGTGGAAATTCTGTCATCATTTACTCACTCTCAAGTTGTTCCAAATCTGCATGAATTTCTTTCTTCTGCTGAACACAAAAGAATATACTTTGAAGAATGTCGGTAACCAAACAAGATTTTTTTTTTTGCATAACACCATTGTTTCAATTTGACTTTTATTTTTTACATTACAAATGTCACTTTTGATCAATTTCACGCATCTTTCCTGAATAAAAATAAAAATTTCCTTCAGGTTTTTTTTTTTGTTTGAGCGGTTGTATATATTATTACGTATTCAGTTATATTCAATTATGTATTAAAATATAAATTTGTGTGACAACAAATTTAAAAGCATAAATAAAACTACTAAAAGTTCAGACTGTTGAATTTAATTCATGGCATTTCATCGATCATATACATCAAGTGTGAAATGAGCTATTCAAACTGTAAACGGTTATTTTAATTTACTTTCTATGTGCGGATGTCTATCTTCTAACACTCAATGTCCCTTTGTGTGTCCCTGCTTCAGCATTGAGAAAGTGTCTAAAATCACATCTCCAGTGTTGATCATCCATGGGACGGAGGATGAGGTGATAGATTTTTCCCACGGGCTGGCCTTGTACGAGCGCTGCCCCAAAGCCGTGGAGCCGCTGTGGGTGGAGGGAGCCGGACACAATGACATCGAACTGTACACCCAGTACCTGGAACGCCTGCGTCGTTTCATTGGGCAGGAATTGGCCGCACAACACGCCTAAGCTCTCCCTCTTATCCTCCTTGTTCATCCCACCATCTCCCAGTCTGAGCAAGAGTGAGATGAATGCATCAGTAACTTATTGAAGGTCTGCCAACTTGTATGGACAACCTTAAAGTCAGAGGAGCTTGACAGATGATCCACTGCTCAGATTTGTTTTCTTAAAAGTGTTTTCGTTTTTTTCTCCCTCCATTTGTCATCTCCTTGTACACGTGTATATATATGTGTGTGCATGGGGACCCTGGGGGGTGAAAGTGGAATTTCTCTGGGGCAAGAATGATGGATGAATTCCTCTGCCGGATTCAGTCCAAGGAAATAAGCCAGACAGATTTCTGTACCTCCAACCAGACTGTCTCTCTCCATATCTGAGCATTCATCTGTCAGTTGAGTGGTTTGATTCTCCAACCTGCCCCCATGATGCCTCAGCCTAAGAGATTTTCACTTCCCACTTCTCATCAGGCAACTTAAAATAGCTCAATCTCAGCGCTTGGCAAACTTCCTAGCCTTCCTGACCCTGCAGGATGGAATAAACCGGTTGTTTGGTCGAGGATTTCACGATTGAGTTTTGAAGCATCCTACACAGGTGCAATGATGCCCACCTCTGCATCTTCATTCTTTCATCTGATCATTTGGCCTTTTCTGGATGGCTCTTGTGGCCAGGTGTGTGGGTCCATTCTCTCTCATATACCCTGCGGTATACTCGCCTCTATGCACTGATGTTCCCTTTTATTGAGTTTTGGCCTTTATGTCAAAGATGAGCTTGGGATAAGGTGACACCTGATGATGTACACCGCTCCAGGCAGGGAAAGATCGAATCCTGGAATGTTGGCTTTTGTTCCCAGCATTATCAATCTATTTCATTTCTCTTTGGTGTCTCTGTCCTTTCTTCTCAGCATGTTAGGGTGTCCATCCATAGCACCCTGAGGTGAAAGAAACTGGGAGGGCTGCTCGATGATCATCATATTTCAATGAAACCACCGCACTTGGAATGACATGATACAGAGCATATTCACGTCCAGATCCATACATCATGCATCTGAACTGTTGGCCAGTAGAAAGATCAATGTTTTATTCTTTCATCAGGACTTTCCTAAAGCCAGATCTCCGGCATATCATTTCCATATTAATTTAACTAGTTTCACTTTTTAAAATGGATATTTGGGCCATTCAATTGTCTAATTGTGTAGAAACAAATAATGCACACAACATAGTCCGAGATAAAAGCAGAAATCACTTCTGAACCCCGTAGCAATGACGCACAACTAGTTTTTCCCGTTTTTAGCCTGACGTCAAGAATGTTTCTTTCATGGAAATGTTATTTCCTCTCGCTCATTCAAGTCTGATGTGAAGCTATAATCATGCATGTTTACTCGGTGTCTCTTGATTTATAATTTTGTTTTTTAAGCAAATCATTTCAAAGCGTAACACATAATTTAAATACTCCTCTTTGTGAATATAAAGGATTTTCCTTTTTCTTCCCACTTCAAATTGCTAGTTAGCGGCACATGGTTTCATCTATCTAAGTAATGTTCTGACAGCTGGGGGCAGGTTTAAAGATTATAACTAGCAATAAAGGCACAACAATGTGGTCATCATCTACAACCTATTTTTGTGATGTCATCTCTAGTCAAGCTGCTTCTCTTCAAAGGGAGTTTGTCTGATATGATGTGGACACAACTATCAGGTTACCTGATGCTTAGAAAGATTGTTAGAGCTCTGAAAAACAACTGTGAATTATCAAGGGAACTTGCTGCTACAGATCTTGACTGAATGGTCTCAATGAAATTTAAAAGCTGATCCCTTCAACCTTTTGTTGTTTTCTGATGCAAAGGCTTCCAAACCTTTTCAGTGAGATAAGACATCGCTTCCCCATGCTGGCGGGATTCATTCTTGCCCTTTTTAAGGGATAGTTCACCCAAAAAGGAAAATTCTGTCATTACTTCTGTCAACCTCATGTTATGGTGAGAAATTGATTTTCTTTCAACCAGACAGTTGGGAACACCCATTGACTTTTTTGTCGTCAACTGTCAGGTGAGTAAGTAATGACAAAATTTTCATTTTTGGGTGAACTATCTCTTTAACATTGTGGGCTGCAAAGTCATTATGAATTCCGCACAATAATTTGTTTAATTAACTTCAGTATCTTTTGGGGGTAGGGTTTTTTCAAGATGAATTTTCAGATTTTATGGTGCCAGAAGATTTCATCTCTAGATATCCTTCTTTTTTTTGTTTTGTTTTGTTTTTGGAAACCTTTATCCATCCACCCCTTTTGGTCTGTTCCTATGTGTTCTGGTTAAACTCATTCCCATTACTGCAAAACACAAAGTAATTATGTATTCGGAAAACAAAACACTGGTTTGTACATAATTTCCAAAGCCTGATTCCAGCAAATGTGATTCCATGTTTCATCATGTACTAAAGTATGTAATCTGGGGTTGGACACAAGGGGGCTTGTTCGTTCTCCATTCTAACCAAAGATGACAGGTGTTGGATTTGCATTGGCCACCCACTGCCATTTGTCAGCGCTCAGATGTGGATTAGAGCAGGCGGTGGACTTGGGCTGTTCAGACAGAGCCAGTTCTCACACAATACAGGCTGCTGTTGATGCCGCCAAGGGGAAGTTTTTGACTGGACTGTTGGTGCGTGTTTACCTCCTGCAAGACCCAAGTGTTTGCAGGGCTGAAGCAATACCAACTTGTAGCCAGCAGACTGGATGTGTGTGTTCTAACTAGAAGGGAGGACGTTGGTTTGTGAAGGGTTGGAGTTACCCAGAGACTCCATCCCAACACATTCAGATTCAGCTCTTTTTACTAAGATTTTTTTTTTTTTTCATTTGTTTAAAGAAAGTAAGTTAAAGAAATATCTTTTTAAAACTATCAGATGTATGTACTGTATAACATTGTTTGAGAAGCTTAATCTTGAGGTTTGAGAATCTGTTTTTGTATCTTAATGGATCGGGAGTAAGAGTTATTGGGGTGTTGCTGTTCTATCCTTTTATGCATTATTCTAATGTTGTTGTTTTTAGTTTTAAATATGTCTGTTTCCTTTTCCAGAATTAATAAATAAAAGAGATCTTAGAAAATAAAATTATGAATTGATAATTGTTGTAATTCTCTTTTCTTGTAACTGCACACAGAAACATCACATTTAAATAGCAAATTATACATTTTGGTTCTAATACGTTTATTTATTAGAACCGGAAATTATTGAAAGAAACCATCACATTTATACAGCAATATATTATATGTATAATATATACATTCACTCCTGTTCAAGACAATCTCCTGAACTCCAAACTGAATGTCAGAATGGGAAAGAAAGGTGATTTAAGCAATTTTGAGCGTGGCATGGTTGTTGGTGCCAGACGGGCTGGTTTGAGTATTTCATAATTATCCTCAGTTACTGGGATTTTCACACAAAACCATTTCTTGGGTTTACAAAGAATGGTGTGAAAAGGGAAAAACATCCAGTATGCGGCAGTCCTGTGGGCGAAAATGCCTTGTTGATGCTAGAAGTCAGATGAGAATGGGCCGACTGATTCAAGCTGATAGAAGAGCAACTTTGACTGAAATAACCACTCGTTACAACCGAGGTATGCAGCAAAGCATTTGTGAAGCCACAACACGCATAATCTTGTGGCGAATGGGCTACAACAGCAGAAGACCCCACTGGGTACCACTCATCTCCACTACAAATTGGAAAAAGAGGCTACAATTTGCAAGAGCTCACCAAAGTTGGACAGTTGAAGACTGGAAAAATGTTTCCTAGTCTGATGAGTCTCAATTTCTGTTGAGTCAGAATTTGGCATAAACTGAATGAGAACATGGATCCATCATGCCATGATCTTACCACTGTGCAGGCTGGAGGTGGTGGTGTAATGGTGTGGGGGATGTTTCCTTGGCACACTTTAGTGCCCCTTAGTGCCAATTGGGCATCGTTTAAATGCCACAGCCTACCTGAGCATTGTTTCTGACCATATCCATCCCTTTATGGCCACCATGTACCCATCCTCTGATGGCTACTTCCAGCAGGATAATGCACCATGTCACAAAGCTCGAATCATTTTTAAATTGGTTTCTTGAACGTGACAATAAGTTCACTGTACTAAAATGGCCCCCACAGTCACCAGATCTCAACCCGATAGAGCATCTTTAGATGTGGTGGAACGGGAGCTTTGTGCCCTGGATGAATCAATGCCACGTAGAATTAAGGCAGTTCTGAAGGTGAAAGTGGGTCTAACAGTATACGTATGGTGTTCCTATTAATCCTTTGAGTGTATGCCTGTGTGAGTTTACTGTATATACACACACACACTTATATTTATACATGTGTGTGTGTGTGTGTGTGTGTACAAAGACATGCACGTGCACACACACATATTTAAAATTAATATACCTACTATTTAAACAAAAACCTTTAGATTTTAATATTTGATATATTTAGTCTTGAACTTGACATGATTTGATAATTATTGTGAATCAAATTTCTTGTAAAATGAAATACGAAGATTACATTTTCATGCTATACATTTATTTTATATTACGATTTATTTTAAAGCCTTTATTTTTAAATAAATGTAATGTTTATTCAAACTGAATATATTTATATTTGATGTTTAATGTTCAATCTTAAACTTAACCATATTAATTGATAATTATTGTAAATCTATTTTCATGAAACATAGGCTACTGTAGTCACATTTCCATACAATTCTTTAATATTTACATATATTTAATGCATCTTTCTTATATTTTCATATAATTTCATATATTTTATCTGACTTTGAAATGTTGAATTATTAGTCCTTGTAAATCTCTTTTCGTGTAACTGCACTCGGGAACAGCACATTTATATGGTGATATATTTTAAAGGCTGAGCTGAGCTGAACTTCCCAGAATCCTTGGGCTATAAACATCCTCAAGAATCGTAAAACGATCGTAGCAGCTGACCTGCATATTAAATTGTGATCCTCAACTTCTGTGGAATAGATAAGTCCCAACAATCATTGATGAGGCATTTATAATTCAAGGCACAGAGAGAAACATTCTAATGTGCAAGCGTGTCGGATAACGCTGTCGCCGATGGCCCTGTTTTGTTTATTCATCATGTAGCTGCATTTCTCTTCCCATCGATGTCGTCGTCTCCCCCAATTCATCAGTTAATGCCAAACCAGTCCCAAGACTCTTGATATGAATCTTCCTATGCAAAACAAACCAGTGCAAGAGTATATGTGTGTGGGTGTGCATAGACAAAAGAGTCGCAGCGCAGCAACAGATGGGTTCCATTATCTGTAACAAAAAATCTCCAATTATCTGTCTCTTTTTAATTATTGCCCTGTGAGCTTTGGCATGACCCGGCCTATCGGCAACAGCCACATTCGAGAGGCGTTAATACAGCCAGATGGGATTTAAGACCTTCTGTTAAACACACATGCCTCTCTCTGAACATGCATGTGGATATGTACACAAAACCTTGTTTCTACAGTCTAATCACACTTGGATTAATATCACTATGCCCATTTGCTTATATCCAAATGCATCAGTTAAGCTATTTACACATGCTGTGATATGCCAAACACATGGAATATTCTGGGAGTGTGGCATAATGTTGATTAGACTGTACACAAACTTTGATTTGGATTTGGATTATTTGGTAACAGTGAGGCATTTACAATGAAGTTGCGATAGACTTTTCTTCTCTTGTGAACTATTAAAGTGAATGGCTACAAAAAAGTGTAGAACGTGATTTTGTGCTATTCATTGGATTGTTGGACTGTTGTGGTTAGCTATTGCATGTAAGTGATAGGTTGTCCTGTCATTGTGACAGTGAATGCGTCATTAGAGAAGAGAAGTCGCATGCAAAAGGGAGGGGAAGTTATTTTAAATAAAGATTACAAGGACACCATATGATTTTTTAAAAAAAATGATGATTTGAACGGGTGAATCAATAGAATAAATACTGCAATATTAAATAAAAAATAAGAATTGTCAATTTTGATTTATGGTGACTTTAACATTAAAACGCTTTTTCCAAAATACTGCAACAAATTCATATGCGTTTAACAGTATAACTTTGTAGCTCAAATAATAAAGAAGCTCTACAAGAAGAATTAGTGGAATTAGAATCTAATTTATGCTTTTAATAAATCCTTAAAAAATATGTTTATTCAAGTGTATTAGTATATTTATTTTAAACTAAAAATAAGAAAGTATACTTAGGATATAGTCTACTTTTTATGTATTTCTCATATAGACTATAGGCTGCTTTTATGGCTACTTCTCAGAAATATACTTTTGCACCTATGGATACTCAACTTTATGTCTAAGTAGGCTATGTATTTTTTGAAAAATTAAGGCACTGGAGAGTACAAATGGTTTGAATGCAAAATACATTTTCACCGCTAGATTGGACAAATTCCTACACACTGTCCCTTTAAATAGGCTGCTTGATAAAGTGGAATCGATAGGCTAATTGTTTTTTGTAAGGGTCAACGCAATCTTGATTTTTTTTTTTTTTTTAGTCGAAACTATTTCGTTTTAATCAACAAAAAGCATACCATTTTAGCATACTATTACATCCTGTTTGAATCAATATATCGTTGTAGAACATTCAGAATTCCCGTTTTATCTGTTTTTGCCAGTGCACGTTTTCTTATTTTATGTCTTTATTTCAGCTCACTCAAAACCTAGATGACTGGAAGAAAATAAGACATGTATCATTGTTTGCTTCAGGAGACGTTATTGTTGTTTTTTACCATAACTATGTCATCTGCTGTCTCTTGAGTTTGAATCACAGTTTGCCTGAGGCTTGCTAGGGGAGATGCTGTGCATTGTTCAGATCTGACCACTAGGGGGCACAAACTACATTCTCAATAGATTTTGTCATCATTTCCATTATCTGTCTCTGTCAGTGACATAAACAACGAGCTTCCTCTCGCTATATATAGGACCTGACAAATCAATCATAAAAAAAAGCCTTGATTGCAATAATAATGTAGCTATTTAAGTTGCTTTCATCAGTTAAAAACATGTTATAGCCTATTTTTTAGCATATCATCCAAACGGCAGCACGTTTGATATTTGATTAATGCGATGTGATGTGTGCATTTACTGTTTGTTTTTTAACTACAAGCTGTAATTAGCATCACTTAAAAAATATCTTCCTTCCTCACCGCATCCTCAAAATATGTGTTTGCACTTTATTACTGAGTGTTTCATATCCTCACTGTCACATCTGAGGTCTACATTTCTCTGCTATTAAAGAAATCTGTGCTGCAGTCTCACTGTGACATCAGAAATATGTGTTTAGTCCTCACTAAAGTCTGTGTTTGTGCTTGCGTATACCACACTGCTAAACAAACAAACATAACCCAGTGCGTTCGTGAACAGAGATAGATCTGTTCATGGAAACTAACCAAGCTGGAATATTACACGTTGCATTTGTCATGGTTATTGTTTTGTGTATTTTTCTTGAGTGGTCTTAAGCATTTTTTCCCAAGACCAGCTACTACGGCCCCGAGGCCAGCGGTGTCATCTGGTTCTGCTTTGCTCGCATTTAGCTTTGCAGGGTCGATTTATTGTGGTCCAAATTGACCTGGATATTGGGTAATTGAAGATTCGGGGACAGCAGGCGAAATGGTTGCTCTGCCTGAGGAAATGAGGTTATTGTTACCCTGTTGCCAATATCGGCAGCCTCTTATGCTGTATGATCGCACATGGTGTGCGCTTTGGTGCACGTTTGCATACTGTACCTACATCAAACCACAATCTATTGAAAAGATCTTTTCTGTTTAGAATAGTAACATTAATGCATTGTCGTTTGCTGCTG